GTTTATGCAGGGCATCATGTAAAGTAATTATAATTTTTATCTTGTCTGTTACATATACTGATATAATGAAGGCATTGAAAGAACTCGAAATTCAAAATGCTATACGTTTCGGGTTCGAAATATATTAGTCGGAATTTGGATATTACTTTTTTAGATCCAATACAGTAATGCTAATTTGTGTCCATACGCTGCAAGTTTTGCTATTTCATTTAGCCGTTACATGCTTATGAGATCCCTTGTCAGGTGGAGGGAAGGGAGCAATGCTAATACGATTCGTAAATTCACATGTGACAGAAGATTGTTCATGTTCATTAAGCTCTACCGTAGATGACAGTTCATATTTCCAACGAGTTTTCGGAAAGGGCTAAACGATTTGAGTGCAGTATTAAACCAACGGTAATAAGAACGACCTAATTTTTTGTTAAAAAAAAAACTACTGCTGATGTGCTTCAAACTCAGAACGAAACAGGATGAATTAAAACTTAGGCTGATCGCTTGTTGATGTCACATAATTTATTTCGCTCACCGGTGAAAGTTAATGCTTCTCCAGTTAAATGTATAAATATAGGTATACAGTTCATAACTTTTGCTAGATCAGATTTCGCTACGTTTCGTTCCTTCTCATTGCTCCAAGTTGTCTTAGGTTCAGTCAAGCGTGCTACGGATTGGGCAGTCTGCAGTGCCAGATGCATCTAGCGCCATTTTGTTCCCGGTGACACCTCAAGCAGCCACCATCTACGTACTAGACAGATAATTCGCCGTCCGGAATACCATCGTCGTAACTAGTTGTTGGTGAAACGGACCCGCGAACTGAACAGACTTGCGTGATGGGATTTTCGGTACCTCAGACTTTCGTATTTAATAACATAAAATGGATCATACCGCGATTATCAGAAGTTTCCATCGATATTGCATGAGGTCTTGTACGTAGTCCGGGTATCTCCAGAACTCAAACTTCTTGTACTTCACGTTACAGAACGATTTCACTTTCTCCGCGTTGTCGTCGTTTAGGCCGATGTCGTAGAACAAGACGCTCCTATTCGGGACTACCCTTTGAAAGTCGATTATCAGCCGTTGAACTTCGAGAAAATGATTGTCCGACGCCGCCGTAATAAAGACTGGTTCGGGAATGCCTTCTTTTTCGATCCATACGTAATCATCGTCTGAGTCAGAAATCATCCTCAGTCGCTTCAGTTCACTCAGATATTCACACGAAAAACGTTTTCCTCGTATCGTACGGTCAACAGGAAG